CACACACACACACACACACACACACACACAGTTCTTTAACCCAACACGAAAACATAGAGACAAAGACAAAATGTGTTTTTATGTATTTGGTTGTTCATTGCTGCCTCTGTTTGAATTCCATGATAAGAAGCATCAGAGCATCGGACTGATAATTTCTGACTGAAAGTTATGTCAAGTGGATTAAATTATGATAGGCAAGCTTTCACTTTAAAGGTCACGGATTTGATTCCCAGAGAAAAGAAGAAAAGGAAAGTCATGAACAGGAATGCTAAATCCAGACAGTGTTGTCATGTCGGTGTTTGTTGAGAATGATGTGGGTATGACACAGCATGACTATGACAAAATGACTGTCAGACGGAGATGGGAATTTTATTAGCTGATGGAGTGTCACAAAGCGATGCTGTATTGTAGTGTGTTTCCTCCCCATCAACACTGTTTGTTGATTATTGTCATACCAAATATAAAAATGCTCTCAGCTTACTTGAGGTTTTCTGTCTTAATTACCCCATACAAAGAAAAAATTAATTTTCTTATAGTCGACATGCATCCTAAAATTCCAGATATTTCCTTCAACAGTTGGTGGAGAGTTAAAAAACCTTATATTGGACTTGGAGTTGATTGTGTAATGTGGGTAATGTTTATCTGTGTGTATCTTTTTGCTTAGCTCTTTGGCTATGTAAAGAGAAAGATTATAGAAATTATAGAGATTATAGAAATTCAGCTACAGGCAGACCTTGAAAATATAAAATAACAGGCATAGCTCTATCACATTGGCACTACATGGAGGTCAAACACTGGTTTATTTGAAAAGTTATCATGAACAGGAAAGAGAACATCAGCTGAGATTATTGTAAAAAGGAAGAAGTGCAAAAAAATTGTCAAAGGTCAAGAAACGGTAGCTTCAGAAACACAGACCCAGAGAACAGCTAGTGTCTCCTTCAATGGTAGCGAGTGGTTGTTAGAGCTTGCTGGTTGTCACTTGTTTCATTCAGTCGTAAAGCACCAAAAACATACCTGTCACTGGGGTCAAAGGAGCTTGCAAAGAAAAGCGTCTGGACTTCTTTAAGTTACTTGAAGACGTTTCACCTCTCATCCGAGAAGCTTCTTCAGTTCTA